TAAACATTTTTCAACTTACACTTCAACATCAGTGTTTGCTTCAAACTGCCGTATCAACTTTACCTTATTTTAAATAATTTGGAGCATTTTATCATCTAACATATTTATAAAAAAGAATATTTAGGCATTTAATTTAAACTTTTCAAAATTCTAATTTTTGGATTTAATTATTGTTGAAATTCTTAGGGAATGTTTATTTTATTCTGAATATACATATCCCACCCAAAATTTAAATAATTTGGCATTTTAATTTTTTACAAAATTTTTGGGTTAAATTGAACTTATCTGTTGAGGGGATATTCCGAGGGACGTGGGTAATCATCTCCAGGAGTCCCGTCCACTTCCTCCAGAATATCTTGGTGTTGGAATTATGTGGTGCGCATGCGTCAAGCGGAATGGGAGAAAGCGAGGTTTCTTGTTGAAACCGAGCGCTCTCTCACTCAGTATGACTCGAGCTGTGGTCTTGAACGCACGCCAAGCCGCGTTATTTAAGACGAGAGCATATCAACTTAATTCGTGGTTTAGTGTAACTGGAAGAGAATAAACGCGTAATTAAGTTAAATAAAGTGTCGTGTGTTTTTATTTGGATTCAACTTACCTTTTTGGTCCAGCGTCGATCCCGAGTAAGTCCAGGGCATCCGAGGAAGAAGGTCCAAGTCCCGTGGCATCCGCCGGTTCCTGCGTTGCGGTGAGTCTGAAACAAACAGAGCTTTGTTAGTAATCCTTCCTGCTTGGAGGTCAAAGTAGGTGGCGACCGATTGACAGCCAGAATTCCACGATTGTCTGGTCACAACCTAACCTAACCTTTTTTTTTTTTTTTTTTAACGTGGGAGAAATCCTTTATGGATATCTTGATTCTGGGGGAAAGGTCAGGGTTATGTGGGATTCTTTCCTTCCACCCGCAAATGGAAAGGAGGTGTACCCACTAAAACTCTCACGGTGTGTCCACTTTGCTCATTTTAGGGAGGGATCCGAGAATTCCTTGAGAGGTTGCACACGGATCTCACCCTGGAGCTTGCATATCTTGGAGGAAGGAGTTTTAGGTTCTCCCTTCTCTGCACACTTGGTGCTTTTATTCTCTTCTATGGTGACACTATGGGACACACTCCACAGTGTCACCTCATCATTGACCGCGCGCGAGGGACAAGCCAGAGCTCCCACTCTGACTCGTCGCGGTTCTGCGGCGGCTTAAAAAACCATCCCCAGAATAAACGATATCATCCCGGGAAGCCGCCGCTTGGTTTCTCCTAGCACCGCTCTCGCCGGTGCATCCTTGTCAGGGTGATGGACTAACGAGAAGAGCCGGCTTTTCCCAACGCCCATCACCCCAAAAGACCGCTCTTCCGCTTCCCAGAGGAGAGGGGAGAGTCAGGCCAGGCTACACTCAAGGACTGCCTCGATCCCGGGGGCGGACGCGCGGTACGGGGACGCCCGTACCTTGGGGACCCCTGTTCGCGCACGCTTCCGAGGTCTCCCGAGAGGGAAAGGAAGTCTTTCCTTCTCTCTTTCAGCTGCCTCCTTCTGCTCCATCACCGTGGAGCAGAAGGAGACGACCGCATCCCACTCTTTTTCCTCCCTGGAGCACAATGCCTTTAGAAGGCCCTCCAGGGAGAGGTCCTTCCCTATTTTGGCGACCAGCTCTCGGCGTTTCTGAGCCCACCGTGGACACTCTTTTACGGTGTGCTCCATCGAGTCGCTGGCCGTCCCGCATTCGTGACATTGCGTCGTTGGTTCACGTCCGATGCGACACAGATACTCACCGAAGCAGCTATGCCTGGTAAGCACCTGCGTTACACGGTAGGTGAGGCGTTGTCCAACCATCCTGCTAAGTGGGGCCGGACGACCCGGACGACTTCCTGAGCGTCCACGTATGGCTCGCTCAGGAAATACTTCCAGTTGAGGAGCATTTGTCGCCGGGCTTGGCGCTCCGACTCGGCGAAGACCTCCCGTCGAGCATCATCTGCGAGACCTTTCTGCTGGAGCAACTTGACTCGGCGATGGTACCTCGCCGAGTACATGCCAGCAAGGAGGGCCAGAGGGGGCATCCTCGCCAGTATGCCCGCTGTCTCCCTAGGCACCGTGCGGAAGCCGCAGATTACGCGGAGGGCTGCTACCTTTTGGGAGGAGAGGAGCTTATCAAAACTGCTTCTCACTCCCGCCCCCGCAGCGGTTTCCGCCCACAACGGCGCCCCATACAGGGCCACCGAGTGGATGACATTGGCGTAGAAACGACGGATCATATACTTCGGGCCCCCAAGGTTCGGCTGAATGCGCGCGAGCGCGTTTGCCACTTTTCGAACCTTGAGGACCAGACGAGTGAAGTGCTCATCGAAGCGCCACTTCGGATCGAGGTGAAGTTTAAGGTACTTTATGGTCTTACCCACCTCGACCCGAGCCTCACTTACGGAGAGGCTGAGTTCTGGGGGCCGTCCACGCCAGTGGTCAAAGAACCACATAGCTTCTGTCTTGTGGACGGCCACTTTGAGGCCCAGCCCCTCGATGCGATCAATGACGCAATTCGTTCCTACTTCGGCCAAGTAGTCTGGTCCTACTTCAGTCCTCAGAGGCAATCATCAACGTGTCATCTGCGTAGCAGATGACCGATAGTCCTCTGGGGAGTGCGGCCTGGATCATCCTGTTGTACCCGAGGTTTTACAGCAGTAGGTCCAAGACTGACCTTTGTGGAACCCCGCGGTACATCTTTCTGCGCAGCGGTGATCCGTACCGGCCGGTGTACCTAATCTCCCTGCCACGGAAGTAGTTTCCGAGAAGCCTACTCAAGTAGAGCGGAACTCCGTGACGTTCAAGGGCCCAGCTTATACTCCCAGGGGAGGGAGTTAAAGGCATTGGAGATATCTAATGAGACCGCCAATGCTCTCTTCCTCTGCCTGACCGACGCCTCCGTGAGGGACTTAAGATGGGAGACGGCGTCAACCGTTGATCGTTCTACACGGAATTCGAACGGCCAGGTCGGAACCTGGTGACAGGTGCTCGACGAAACGATTGGCAATGATGCGCTCCAAGAGTTTGCCCGCCTCGTCGAGCAAACAGATCGGCCGGTACGCGGACAACTTTTTTTTTTTTTTTTTTGTTAACGAGGGAAAATGCTTTACGCATACCTGTGTCCCTTGGGGGGAAGGAAACCCAGGTTATGCGGGACTCCCTCCAAAAAGGAGGTATACCCGCTAAAAAACCCCGGTGGTTTTCCATCATTAAGGGAGAGAGGGTGGCTGCCAAAAGGCTCTTACTTCTCCCCCCACTCCCCCTGCGTGCAGACGATTAGGTACCATCTACTCCCTAAAAAATCTTGTGAGTTGTGACGAAACCACATCGTACACTTCCCACCACTTCCTGTAGAATATGTGCAATGGTCGAGGTAGGCCCTCCAGGCTACCTATCTCTGTAGCTTGCGTTCCTTTTTATATAAGGAAAATTGTACAGGGTTTTCGAGGTTAACGCCTCTGGCCCTGACGGACTTTTTCTTTCTTTTTTTTAGCTGACATTACCTTCTCACAAAAAGTGAGAAAGGCATGCCAGCATTCTCGATTTTCTATAGCCCGCGCGATAACCGAGGCCAGAGTTAAGTCCGGTCCAACAGCCTCAACGAGGGCCATTCTTTCTTGAACCCATGCCGGGCACTCGGCAAGAGTATGCTGTGCGATATCGATGTCATTTCTGCAATGGTCGCAGAACACACACACACACACACACACACACACACACACACACACACACACACGCACAAGTGTAAATCCGACAATGCAACCTCTATGCACTTTGAGTAATGCTAGTTACTAATTGCCGGTACTTTTTATTTACCCTGTACAATAATCAATTAAAAATAGTGATTGGAACTGTGTCTGATGATTTAGACTGTTTAGTTTAGCTTGTTTGAAATTGTCCAATTGTGTTTCGATTTTCGTATTGTGCTTGATTAGAATTGTCTTTAAGTGACAAACTCCACCATGACTGTTGTATTTGTACATTTATAAGTTCTTCTCAAGTGCCGGTCCTAAGTACCATCTAAACAAAAGCGCTTATTTTATTAACTTTAACTAACTCTATTACAAGACCTACTTGTCAAACGAAAGTTCACTAAAGAAAAAAGTTATTTCTTTCAAAAAATCACGTTTTATACTTTGAATGCGGAAAGTTTAGGATATCCTATATATCAAGAATAATGATTATTGGATAGTTAATTACGGACATTTATGTATGTTTTATAGCTACTTATATATATTTTGTATGTAATCTATCTTGTTACATATACTAAACATGTACATGTGTTAGTTGTGTACATGCACAGTTTTGCAAATGGCGTTTAACCGTAAAAATCTATTCTCTTGAGCGGATTCCCTCCCAATAAACCGTAAAAATCGGGACTTTTTCCATTCGCGCGCTATCAAGTTCGATCTCCTTAGTCTTACTTCGTGGGTATAACAGACAAATTGGGCTTGGAATATAGGGTCTTTTTAGGTTATGTCCAAAACTTGACGTGATAGGAGGATTAAGTAGACTTCGAATTCGGTTTCAGCGACTTTGAAAACATATAGTAAACATGGTCTGACCCCTAGGCCAGAAAAATGTTTTGTGTGTGGCTGTGTAATTAAAAGTTATCATATAATTATTTTTTTGTATTGACCTAGTGTATGTATTTACTAATTGTAATAAACTTTTGTTAAGTAAATTTATTTAAGTAATTAAAATAACCTTATTACGTCATTTTTCATTTTTCAGATGAAAATTGAAACGTGCCAAGATATGACATAAACAGTATGGTGTAAGTGAGAATTAACAAAACAATTATGATAATAATTATTATGTTGTAATTGAGCAATGTTAGTGACTTCCTCCCTGATGGACAATCCACCTACCTCGGTGCATGAGGAAGAGGCGGCAACTGTCACTGACATCGACGACGTGTTTCCGCCGCACGTTGACACGACCAACATTGTTATTCAGCCAGAGTCTCCAACCAGTAAGAAGCAGACGTTAAAGACTTTTGCCGAGATAAATACGTTGCTACAGGCTAATAGGAAGCGAGAAATAAAACTGATTATACGAGAGAACGCTTGGCCTCTTAACAATGGTATTAGGGCGCAGCTTTGGCCAGCTCTCTGCAACCAGCACGCGCATGGCAAGAATATGCTCGATGGATTCTATTGGGATATGGTGAATCAGGTTTTTGGAACAACAGGTCAGTAGATTATATACTTGAGTGCAAAAAAATTTTGTTCTTCTCTCTTTTATTTAGTTTTTTATAGCGTAACTCAAGATAAAAACCAATCTAAAGCTTTGTTTTACAAATTTAATAAACTGTCAAAAAAACTTTTTATATATGACTATACATATAAATGTAGGTAATTATGTATAATTACATATATGTATATGTATTATATGTACATATATATATATATATATACAGGGTGTCCCAGAATGGCCGTACAATCTCTCGTAGGCAGGTAGAAGGAGTAAAACTGAGTCGAAAAGTCTTATACCATTTTGCTAGATTCGCAATAGTTACTGAGATTTTAATTAACAAAGATCCGCGAATA